TCCGGCTCGTCAAGCATTGCTGGACGAAGCACGGCGAGGAATCTGAAGCCGATTTGCCACCCCGCCTCGCTGACTTCGAAGTATGTAACATCATATTTTGTTATTTAGTAACATTTCAAATCTAAGTATGTATCATTTAAAAAATCTTTTTGAAAATGCAGACGAAGTACAATGAATCCCTCGACAGGCAGCGTGCGGCACGAGGCTTGACCCAGGAGGACGACCTCGATTCCGATGCGGATGATGAGGCGGCCATTGAGGCGGCCGGGGTTTACAAGGGCCGGGTTCCGTGCTTGGGGGCCGAGGGGCAACGGATTTTGTATGATCGAAGCACCGGCGCTTCCTCTTCTCGGTCAAGGCGGGGAGAAGATCCCCGTATTGCTACAATGCAGCGTGAACTAGAGGAGCACGAACGGCGATGGGAGGAGCAGCGGAAAGCAGATGCTGCCACAAAAGCCCGGTTGGAGGAGATGGAACGGTACATGCGTGCCGGATTCCAGCCTCCGCAACAGCCTTTTCCTCCCCCGTACGTATTCCACCCTGAGCAAACTCCTCAAGTTCCGCACATGGGCGGTATGGGATTTTTCCCCAACTCCGGATATGGTGGCATGCCTATGATCTCCCCGAATTTCGGTTCTATGTCCTTTGATTTTGCGAGGTCATCCGGAGGAGGTAGTGGCACACCGAGCCACGGAGGCCGAGGAGCACCCCGAGGAGCACCCCGAGGAGCACCCCGAGGAGGAACCCGACCTGACTCTGAAGACCCCCCCGTGAACCCAGATGAGTTTCTTGTTGATGATGATGATGAAGAAGAAGAAGAAAATCCAGATTTTTTTCATAATGGAGTCCCACGAAGGGACATGTAATCATCATACATTTGTACTTTGTTGTTTGTCAAAACATTTAAAAGTTTGTCACAATATTTATTAAGTTTGTTGTATGTCTTTACTCTTTAAAATGTAATTTTAAATTTAAAAAATTAGAATAATATTTTCAATAATTCAATAGTATAAAAACATGGATAAAAATTAGAATAACATTTTTAAATTTAATTTGTAAAAATACGTGTTAAAAAGTAATTTTTAAAAACAACTTTCATAAAAAATGGAAATTTTTTTTTTACAAAACAAAAATAGTAGTCACGGCCATATCCGTGACTACAGTTAATTCGAAATTATTATTTGTTTTTAGTAAAAAAATTTTTTTTTTTTTAAAAAAAAACTTAGTCACGGTCGACAACCGTGACTAATTTCAAAATTTTAGATTGCACCCGCGGGCGGTCTTTTGAAAATTTTGAAAATTTTAAAACTTAGTCACGGCCCACAGCCGTGACTAATATTTATTTTTAAAAAAAAAAAATTATAGTCACGGTCACAAGCCGTGACTAACATGTCGGAGTGGGGTTTCCGGCATGAAATTAGTCACGGTCGTGGACCGTGACTAATCCGTGACTAAATTTAGTCACGGTTATGTGGCGGTGACTTCATTTAGTCACGCCAATTAAGACACGGATTTAGTCACGGCGGATGACCGTGACTAAACACCTTAGTCACGGATTTTTTACACTGCAGTCCGTGACTAAATCCGTGACTACACCCGTGTTTTTTTGTAGTGATATAATTTTATCGATTTCTACGCATGGAACCAATAAATAATACTACATCGGACCTGCTAGAAGGTTCCCATAGCGAAACGACACGGTTATTTAGGTGATAATTAAATAAAGTACTTCGGATATATTTTGAGAAATAATTTTAATAGGTATATATTATAATGTGTTAGTATTGATAACTGTGATGTTACAAATGTATTATTTGTAATATTTAATAACTAATTTGTCGCTTAAGATTGTTAATTGTTTCCTAAAATGGAAATGAGAACCTTCTAACGGGACGTCCAAAAAAAGAAAGTGGGAACCTTCTAACGAGACGGAGGGAGTACTATCGTACTACGTATGCACGTATAATTTGTCCATACCATCATTTAAGTAGGATATTTCTTAATAGAATGATTTCAATCATAAAGAAGATTAGACTAGATTGAAGTAGAGCAGATCAGATTAGACTTTGATAATGATAATAAAATACACATACAATATTTAATTAAATTAGAATAGATCAGAATTAAAAAAAATTACTTGAGATTAGAAAATTTCTATGTAATCAAAAACAAAACAACATCCTTAATCTTATATACTCCCTCCGTCCCGAAAAGGTTCGTCAACTTTGACTTTCACGTGGATTAATAAAGTAAAAACTGTGTGGTTGAAATTTGTGCAGAGGAGAGAGAATTAATTTTAGTCACATATTCCCTTACTTTAATGGAAATGACAAATCTTTTTGGGACATCCAAAAAAGAAAATTTGGCAAACCTTTTCGGAATGGAGGGAGTATCACCCATTCTCTCATAATGTAATGTTGTGTTGAGTAAATTCAAGTCATTATGTGATAGATGAACATGAATATCATTTATAAAAAGATACTTGTATGTACTAAATTCATACAATTGTTTGCTTAAAAAATGTAAACGAGAACACATGCATAGGAAACTTAATTGAGTGTACAGTGTACTTCAGCTATGCATCCATATTGTACACTTTTGGTACGTAGTATTACGGAGTACAACAATTCATTTGTTAGCCATATGCACCCAAGCTCTTTAAAAATAAAAAATACGGAGTAGAAGAAAAAACATCATAACAAATGAGAAAAATTACAAATATTTGGTGATGGGAAGTTTGGAACATAAAAATTTTGTTGCAACAGCCAAGGTCCAGTCAGTTAATAAGGTGCCCACATGCCGCCGCCTAGAAACTGTGTCATTGCAAGAACCGCGGTGGCGGCAGCGGCTGTTACGATTTGGCAAAGATAAACGATAAATTAAGAGCAAGAACACAAGAATTAACGTGGTTCACGCAATCGGGGTGATTACGCTAGTCCACGGCGAACGAGAGAGAGGATGTATTATTATCAGCGTCCCAAGAGGTTTACAAGTACATAAGAGTCGTTTAAATAGGTTTAAGAAAACCTAAACTGAGATTAGAGTCGCAGGCCCAAAATTAAGCCTGTTATTAAAAAACCCGTCGACTGACCCGGTCGGGTCTCTTATTTGACCCGGTCGGGTCTCCTTCACAGAATACAAACCCGGTAGAAACCAGGTCGGGTTTCCAAAACAGAAGCTCGGAGATCAACTGACCCGGTCGGGTCCTTCACCTGACCCGGTCGGGTCTCACATTCCAGAGAGTCCCCAGGTCTCTGCTTCAACATACCCGGTCGGGTGACCTGATATACCCGGTCGGGTATCTGCTCCTGCATTCCAAACAAGGCTCCATCTTCAACAATCTCCCACTTGGAGGCTTGGTCAACAATTGTCTGCCATCCTAGAACATGTATCTTCTATAAAACCCCTGATCTCTCTCTCTCTCTCTCTCTCTCTCTCGTCCACGCCTTCTCATCAAGTATCTGGAAGGCCCGTTGAAGCCATGCATAACTTCAACTTCTCCGTTGTCACCGCCTTGGTAAGCATGTCTGCTGGATTCTTCGTACCAAGGATCTTCTTCTTCAAATTTATAGTACCATCTTCAATCAATTCTCGAATGAAATGATACCTCATCTTGATGTGTTTCGTTCTGCTGTGAAACACCGGATTCTTCGCGAGATGAATAGCACTCTGGTTGTCACAGTACAGATCACAATCCCCCTGTTTCATGCCCAACTCCGAAAGAAAGTTCTTCAACCAAATCATCTCCTTGGCCGCTTCAGCAATAGCCATATATTCTGCTTCTGTGGTTGAAAGAGCTACACTCTTCTGTAATCTGGACATCCAACTGATTGCCGTACCTCCAATAGTGAATATGTAACCCGTAGTGCTCTTCCCGGAATCATGACAGCCCCCCAAATCAGCATCTGCAAAACCTACTAGAATTGCCCCATTCCTCCTGAAACAAAGATGTCACGCCCCAGACCGCAATCCAAGCGCGTGTACAACCGCCGTATAATTAAGTGACGTCACCCACGGGTCAACCTCACTTAATTACACAAGGCGTTCGAGAAAACAATCCATCCATACTCAGTAGTAAACATACATAACAACATCACATTAAACCAATGAATAGCGGAAATATTCAACGGTAAGTCATGGGCCACAACCGGCCGACAACATGGGCATGCAAGCCCCAAAAATAGTTTATAGTAAAACAAATATCCATGAGCAAGTGTTCGGTAGTTTGAAAGAAAATAAGGAAGCACGAACCACGTCTCCCTGATTTGATATCACCCGTGAGAAGGTGCAAGTAGCAAGCCCTAGCTTCAACCTGAAAATGGTGGGGCCCCCCGAAGGGGTCAGTACAAGTACCGAGCGAGTAGCAGGCCAAATATAGAATAACTAGCGTTTCAAGTATAAGACCCAAACATAGGGTGATACTTAAATAAATAATCTTTCCCCCAAGTTATGAAATACTTATTAGTATATATATACTTGGAAAAATATCCGATCCGTAGATCACCATTTTATTTTGGGAAAAATAGTAATAGTCAATATTCTTGACTAAAAACCCCAACCCACCCATATACCTATGAGTGTATATGATGTGAGTTTTCTCGCACTTAAAATAGATCGTAATATAGTGGTGTAAGTACGAGTATCGTCTCCACAGGGACGGACAAAAGGGAATTAAGAATTAATTAAATTCAGCGATTAAAAATGAAATAAATAAAATAAATGCGTCGTGCGAGATTGGTTGATTTGAAAATTAAACTAATGCGGTTGAGCGAATAAAAAATAAATGTGGGTTCTAATTAATTAATGACGAAGGGAATAGGGATTGATTCCGGGGTAACCAGATTTCTGGCAGATCAGGCCTAATTACATGAAATTGATTTAATTGAGCCTAGCTAATCATTACTAAGTTCTTACCGCTCTCGCGGCGTAGAGTACAATAATTTAGGGGACTAGGCTGATCTCTCATGCGACAGGATCCTAAATTATTGCCAAGACGAGCGAGCTTACGGCCCCTTAATCGCTACTAATCTCTTAGCGAACGATTAAGTGTGTGTGAATGTGTCCTAGAATAAACTAGATCTCTCTTAATTTATTCTACAAGCAATTGTAATTCTAACCGCGGTTCCAGGTTACAAAAGATATCAGTTAAATTATTCAAACACAAATTAAACGACATTCATGCAATTAAACCAACAAGAATCTAGCCATACATCATGATCAACCCCTTCATCAATTCCAAATCCCTAATTAAACTACTCACAATTCATAATTGAAGAATCAACAGAATTGGGATGAATAGAAATAATTGTCATTAATTAAAAAGATGAACTTACAAATAATCCCAGGGTCTTGGAAGAAAATAGCGTAAAAACGGTGTTAAATTCGTCCCTAGGCCTCTCCGTAATGTTCGTAACATCAAAATATGGGTATGGGGGTCTTATTTATAGAAAACAGATGAGTTTGGGCTGAACTGGGACTAAAAAAGGGTTGAAATCCGCGTCTCGGGTGTACGCACGATCGTGTGTGGCCTGGTACGCACGATCGTGCGTACATGGCAGTAGCTTCATGGTCGTTTTCGCTCTTACGCACGATCGTGCGTACTTCTACGCACGGTCGTGCGTCCGTGATCTTCAGCCTTTTTTCTAGTCCGAATTTGACAAAACTTCCTTCATGAAAGTTGTAGATAATGAAGTCCTCTATCCACCCCAACTTGCCGAATGTGACTTGAATCATCCAATCAAGAGATATGATCAAAACGGTGGAAGGTGTATTTCTGAAATCGCAGCAGAGATCATCTGACTTCATCATCTGTTTTCACCTTGATCCTCTCAGATTCTCGGAATGATGTCTTCATATGATTTGTAGCCCTTGAAGTTGGCTTTCTTATGCAACTTGAATCGTGTCCATTGGTTGTTCCTACAAAGAGATAAGCTTGAACGATTGACAGAAGGTCATTCTGATCGTCGTTTTCAAGCTTCATTCATCTTCTTTTGATCCCGAATCCAATCCTAGAGCTCTTTTTCCTTCAAATCTTCATCGTGAATCTTCCGGTGACCTCCAAATCTCTCAATCCACTCTCGAATGCATCTCGAATCATCCCGATTGCTCCTCAAGTGCCGATGTTCAACTCTAAATTCCTCATTTTGACTCCAAATGCAACAAAACTTGAACCAACGCATGTTAAACATAACTTGAGCTAAAATTAAGACTTGCAACAACTTAAATCTAGGAAAACCATCAAAATCCAATCCCAACACGCATCAAATGCGTGTCTAAATACGGACTTATCAGATCCCCCCACACTTAAGCCTTTGCTTGTCCTCAAGCAAACTGAACAACGGGACTTACGATAATCACCACACAGAATTTAAAATAGTTAGCATGCACACGTAGTTAAATGGATATTCACAGGACAAACAATCTAAACCAAGAAAATTCTTCCCTAAACTACAACTTTGTACTCAAGTTAAACTATTTGACACAATTATTCACAACATCCTCAAAGTAATGACAGCATACACAAATAAGCTAGCTACTGATCAGAAGGACTTGTGAATGTGATGGTTAATGGTTAATGATAATAGTCCCTTTATTTTGAGAGATAGGAATATTCTAACAAAGACTTAATGTATTTAGGAACTTCAGGGCTATTCTTAGGAACAAGGAATTTAGTAGGCCACAAATTAGGAACAATCATTTAAACCTATGCAAAGAGTAGACATGGTGTACAACTAAGCTAAACCGTCTCAGCACATCTGTGCTTTGACGTATACTTGAAGTACGCGGAGGACTAAAGCTAATTTTTGAGATATCCTCCAAGTTTATTAATTAAATTCAGTTTCCCTTGTCATGTTGGCACGAGAACGCCGTTTCTTTCGAAAGATACCCAAGTCTCATCTTACGCTTTTTGACCGGGGCTCCCATTCTCTTTTTCGTAAGGCAAGAGGTCTAGCTATATTAATTTTTCACCTTTCGGATTCTCACTAGACATTACCCCATTCTAATCTCGGCCTCACCAAGGAAAAATAGCAATTTAAGTTCATTAATTTAAAAGTGAATCCATGCCTACAATGCAATCCTCGAAAGTATCAAATTCCTAAAAAATGACTGCTCTTACCCCATTTGGGGCATAGGAACAGTGCCAAAAATGGCTCCTACACAAAATTCCCTAATCTTGGCAAATTAATCCCTTAATTCCCTAAACATCAAGACTAGGTCAGAAATATTCATGGGCAAAGAAACAGGCCATTTGGCTATGGAGCTAAATTAATTGGGTAAACAAAGAACGGTCAGGCTCAAAATGGCTTCTCCTAAAGGATTTTTTTCAGGTGGGTGGATGATTGATGGAGAATTCAATGGGTGACTAATGCCTTCATCCTTTCAGCAACTAGATTACCATGCAAGCAATTTAAGCCTAAACACTTCAAGGATGTCCTAAAAGCATAGTCAAAATGCTAGCCAGCTCACAAAGACACAGTTTAAAGAAAAATTTTCAAAAATTTTGACATGAATTTTTTATGAATATACAACTAACACATGCGCATGCTAACTCTAAAAATCACATGTAACAACTACTGCCCGAATGCCCAATTCACTCCCCCACACTTAAACTTTGGCATCGTCCTCGATGACCAAAAATGCACTATGCACAAGGGGTAAAGAGGAAAGGGTCACGCGTGCTCAACTTAACTCAAGTCAATTATTACAAACAGGCGATTAAAAAAGTCGCAGAAACTTCCCTAAGGCGCTAGTCGATGCAGAACTAAACTGAGTCAATGTAATCCTCGGCACATCACCCATACAACAAGACCCTGAGCTGTAACAAAAACACAAAGCAAAACAACCAAACAACAAACAAAGCAAAAGCAAAAGTAAAAATAAGCTCGGGTTGCCTCCCGAGAAGCGCTATTTTTAACGTCGTGTGCCCGACGATACTTCCTCATATGCTCTCAAATAGCAAAGACTGCAGTGGTGCACTAACAATCAACGTTTCCAGCTTCCTTTCAACAAATGCCATTAAGTGGCGCAGATTCTTAAATTCTCGAATATGCGTAGGCAGCACATGGTCTTCATAACCCTCATCAGCACAGAAGTGAAGGATGAAACTCTCATCCTCTTCAGGTGGATAGGAAACATGAGTGAGAACTTTGATTACTCTAGGTATCACCGGAAGCTCAAAAGATGTCTCAAAGCAAGGAGTAGGAGCAACACCGTAATCAAACTGCACCATAGAAAAGTCATCTTCTTCCTCACAGATATCATGAAAATTCACAACCTCTCCTCCAGACTCTGTATCACTCCCCATGAATGCATCCCAATTCGTTTCGTCACTCTTCTTATTAATATCCTCCAAGCAGTTGTGATTATTCTCCACACACAAAGAAATATCATCACCAAGGAATGGATCAAAGAAATCCAAATTTGAAACCACGTAAGAGTGGACCGGTGCATGTTTACAAGAAGGGAATTCTTGCTTGTGGAGCGGGACTTCTTCATTATGGACATCATCTATCTCACCCCCACTCTCTTGGAGCTTGTAATCATCTATTCCCAAACCTACCTCAGTGGCTGCATCAACGTCATGACGGACCTGCTCCCTGCCATCCTCGTCAGGTGTTGAGACTAATGGTAAATCAAACGGCTGGTGAGTTTCTGTATGGTCATCACCACTATCTTCTTGTTCAAGTGCAAACATAGGTGGGTCTTCAAAAATATCTAGAAGTGTATCATCCATCATATTCCCACTATCATAGTCTGACTCGCTCACGTGATCATCCATATTGGTCTCCTCGGGTTGAGTGTCTGTGTCGCTAGGATAAGATCTCTCGGACTCCTCAGATAAAGCCTTTATAATCTGCCCCAATTGATTCTCCATGTTCTGCCTCCTTGTGTTTGCTTGCTGTTGAATTGCCATGCTCGCCTCAATTTCTTGCATGAATTGCTTGAGTGTTTCTTCCAGGTGAGACAGCTTCTCTGAAATTATCTCTTCCACTTCATCTTGTGGTTCATAGCTCGGCAAAGACGTAGGAGTGACTGAAACATTTGTGTTCGTAAATTGTGTGGAGGAAGAAGTGGGGTATGCAGTTGCCCAGTAAGGATGGTCGTATGGAGGAATGGGGCAAAGACATGAATGGTGGCCACCTCCACAGAAGTTACAAATGCTATTTTTAGGAAAGTAATCAACCAATTCCTCGGGACTTTTAGTTTGAATGAGAAATTCCATAATGGAGCCTGGTTTTGTCCGAGGATATTGTGGATAAGGATACTGATTAGGAGAATGACATTGGGAGTATTGCGTATTTGGAAAAGGGTAAGAATAGGAAGATGGAAACTTTTGTGGTGTTGGAGAATAATTTTGATGAGGTGAGTAATATTGAGGAGGAGGAGTGTAAGGAGGGTAAGGCGTATATGGTGAATATTCCATGGAGGTTTGAGGGTAAGGAATTCCTCCAGGAATTTGGCTGAATAGGTTCATCTCATGCCTCTTAGAAAAATACCTGAAAGGTTAGCACAGAAAAATCCTATGAAAAAAAAAAAGAAAACTAACTAAAAAAATCTCGCTGAAATTAATTAACCCTTAAAACCGACACCGTCCCCGGCAACGGCGCCAAAAACTGATGTGAGTTTTCTCGCACTTAAAATAGATCGTAATATAGTGGTGTAAGTACGAGTATCGTCTCCACAGGGACGGACAAAAGGGAATTAAGAATTAATTAAATTCAGCGATTAAAAATGAAATAAATAAAATAAATGCGTCGTGCGAGATTGGTTGATTTGAAAATTAAACTAATGCGGTTGAGCGAATAAAAAATAAATGTGGGTTCTAATTAATTAATGACGAAGGGAATAGGGATTGATTCCGGGGTAACCAGATTTCTGGCAGATCAGGCCTAATTACATGAAATTGATTTAATTGAGCCTAGCTAATCATTACTAAGTTCTTACCGCTCTCGCGGCGTAGAGTACAATAATTTAGGGGACCAGTCTGATCTCTCATGCGACAGGATCCTAAATTATTGCCAAGACGAGCGAGCTTACGGCCCCTTAATCGCTACTAATCTCTTAGCGAACGATTAAGTGTGTGTGAATGTGTCCTAGAATAAACTAGATCTCTCTTAATTTATTCTACAAGCAATTGTAATTCTAACCGCGGTTCCAGGTTACAAAAGATATCAGTTAAATTATTCAAATACAAATTAAACGACATTCATGCAATTAAACCAACAAGAATCTAGCCATACATCATGATCAACCCCTTCATCAATCCCAAATCCCTAATTAAACTACTCACAATTCATAATTGAAGAATCAACAGAATTGGGATGAATAGAAATAATTGTCATTAATTAAAAAGATGAACTTACAAATAATCCCAGGGTCTTGGAAGAAAATAGCGTAAAAACGGTGTTAAATTCGTCCCTAGGCCTCTCCGTAATGTTCGTAACATCAAAATATGGGTATGGGGGTCTTATTTATAGAAAACATATGAGTTTGGGCTGAACTGGGACTAAAAAAGGGTTGAAATCCGCGTCTCGGGTGTACGCACGATCGTGTGTGGCCTGGTACGCACGATCGTGCGTACATGGCAGTAGCTTCATGGTCGTTTTCGCTCTTACGCACGATCGTGCGTACTTCTACGCACGGTCGTGCGTCCGTGATCTTCAGCCTTTTTTCTAGTCCGAATTTGACAAAACTTCCTTCATGAAAGTTGTAGATAATGAAGTCCTCTATCCACCCCAACTTGCCGAATGTGATTTGAATCATCCAATCAAGAGATATGATCAAAACGGTGGAAGGTGTATTTCTGAAATCGCAGCAGAGATCATCTGACTTCATCATCTGTTTTCACCTTGATCCTCTCAGATTCTCGGAATGATGTCTTCATATGATTTGTAGCCCTTGAAGTTGGCTTTCTTATGCAACTTGAATCGTGTCCAGTGGTTGTTCCTACAAAGAGATAAGCTTGAACGATTGACAGAAGGTCATTCTGATCGTCGTTTTCAAGCTTCATTCATCTTCTTTTGATCCCGAATCCAATCCTAGAGCTCTTTTTCCTTCAAATCTTCATCGTGAATCTTCCGGTGACCTCCAAATCTCTCAATCCACTCTCGAATGCATCTCGAATCATCCCGATTGCTCCTCAAGTGCCGATGTTCAACTCTAAATTCCTCATTTTGACTCCAAATGCAACAAAACTTGAACCAACGCATGTTAAACATAACTTGAGCTAAAATTAAGACTTGCAACAACTTAAATCTAGGAAAACCATCAAAATCCAATCCCAACACGCATCAAATGCGTGTCTAAATACGGACTTATCAGTATAGGACTCCTCCTTGTCCCTATTTGTATATCATAATCTATGAGTTTTAGGATCATAATCCTTGGATACTCCACCGGTTTATGAGTGTTAAGGACTCATAAGTCCTAGGGTCCTCCACCAAGTTTTGAGTGTTAAGTACTTTTAAGTACTAGGGTCCTCCACCAAGTTTGAGTGTTAAGGACTTTTAAGTCCTAGGGTCCTCCACCAAGTTTTGAGTGTTAAGTACTTTTAAGTACTAGGGTCCTCCACCAAGTTTTGAGTGTTAAGTACTTTTTAAGTACTAGGGTCCTCCACCAAGTTTTGAGTGTTAAGTACTTTTTAAGTACTAGGGTCCTCCACCAAGTTTTGAGTGTTAAGTACTTTTTAAGTACTAGGGTCCTCCACCAAGTTCTTCTATGATCAACCTCCTATCAACCTAGATAGAGTCTATATCATACTTAGTTACTCATAACTAATTCAATACATAAAGCTTATGTATCACAATCCGTGCAAAGCCATGCGATTCTTTAAATGTATAATTAACTAATATCAACCGATATTAATTAATCCATTATCCACCGGTCAACGGTGTCGTTGACCGCCATTTCAAGTCTTACACTTATCAACTTAATCATCATGTAATTAAATTGATAATATTCATTTGGTGCTTCTTATACATTCCAAACAAATATGCATTTTATGTAATTCCTCATATTATATTCCATGCATAAATCATTTATTTCCTTCATACACACTTAACCCTATTGATTAATCTCATGTTTAAATATCTTTTAAACATCGTTATGAACTCATATAACATTTATTTAGGTAATCTCATAATTAACCCAAAAGTTATAAGATATTAAGCCGTCCACTCACCTTGAACTAGCGTATGAAGTTCTACCCCTCTTGGTTGAACTCCGGTGAAACTCCGGCGACTTTTGGTCAACTCCGGCGACAATTCCGGCGACTTTTCCAACTTTGTGAAATCGCTTGAAATACCCTTTACAAGTGCCTAACAAGGTTTTAACATCATAAAACCTTAATCAATACAAATAACCTATAAAAGGTTATTTTCCGGTGAACCGGTCGTTTTGGCTTCTAAGTCCGTTTTTGGACATAGAATCACTTTCCAACCCATTAATCCATACTTATAACATGTAGAACCCTCTTAAGGATTCTTCACATGAAATATATCTCATATGGTAGAAGAAAAATAGAGAGGGAGTTGTAATAAGGTCATTACCTTAATCTTTTCACACTTTTAGCACCTTAACTCCTTTTTGGGTGATTCTTCCTTGATGAGCTCTCTTCAACAATGGAGGAAGGAAGAAGAAGAGTTTTCTTTCTCTTCTTGCTGTAGCTTGGCCGAAATGGGGGAGAGAGGGGTGAGGCTTACCCCTTTGTCTCATTGAACAAATGAGTGTGGATGGGGGGCCACCTCATTTTTGTTTGATGCCTTTTAGATCATGTCAACTTCTCCCTCCCATGCTCCCCTATTCAACCAGCCGACCAAGCCCTCAATTTGAGTGGCCAAAAATCGTGGGTTGGCCCCCACTCATGTGGGAGGTCAACCCCTTTTGCCCCGACGTGTACAATTTGTCCCGAAAGTTGTATTTTTCGGACTGTTTTAAATATATTTTATTTTATCGGGTCAAATAAAATATATCATGTGCTCTTACTCATTATGACATGTATAATGAATATACATTCCCCAACTTTAATTTATAAGCCTCCGAAATTCAGTTCGGGCCGTTATCCGTTAAATTACCAGTACCGGTAATTTGGGCTTCTTTTGACCGATCGGTCAACTCTGGGCCTTTCCATGGCCCAAATGAAATATCCACCACTATATTTTTATTATCTAGACCAAGATGAATAAAATGTATGGTCTCGGGAATGCTGGGCGGCCCCCACTCCCGGTGTGGGTCCCACGTGCAATTTACTATTCACGCGAAAGAAATAATAAAAATTTACAACTTCGTACATTCATTAATCCTTTAATAAGGTTCAATACATTATTTACATAAAAGTAAATATATTTGGGGACGGTGTTACAAAAGAGCAGTTCTAGAGGTGCCTTTCAAGTAGCGTAGCAGCCACTTGACTCCTTCCCAATGTTCCTTCCCTGGATTTGACATAAACCTGCTAACAACTCCCACTGCATGAGCAATGTCTGGCCTTGTTGACACCATCGCATACATCAAACTGCCAACTGCTGATGCATAAGGAACTTTAGCCATCTCATCTTTGTCTTCATCGGTCTTCGGAGACTGCTGCTTGGAGAGTTTCAACCGACTCCCTAACGGTGTACTCCTTGGCTTGGCATCCGTCATTCTGAACTTCTCAAGGACCTTCTGAATGTACTTCTACTGTGAAAGCTTTAAAGTACCTTCCACCTTGTCTCTCACTATTCTCATCCCAAGAATCTGTCTCGCCTCTCCTAAATTCTTCATCTCAAATTCTTCAGACAACTTCTTGAGCTTGTTGATCTCCTGCATGTTTGCTCCAGCCACCAACATGTCATCAACATACAAAAGAAGAATAATGTATGAAGACTCGAATTTCTTCAAGTAACAGCAATGGTCCATCTTGCATCTAGTGTACCCATTCCGCTGCATAAAACTGTCAAACTTCAAGTACCACTGTCTAGGAGCTTGCTTCAGTCCGTATAGACTTTTCTTGAGTTTGCACACCAACTTCTCCCTACCACACAATGAGAAACCTACCGGTTGAGCCATGTAAATGTCTTCTTCAAGGTTGCCATGAAGAAAAGCAGTCTTTACATCCAACTGCTCTAAGTGCAAATTTTCAGCAGCAACGATACCAAGGATCAACCTGATAGTAGTCATCTACACAACCGGAGAGAAGATTTCATTGTAATCAACTCCCTTCTTCTGTTGGAACCCTTTGACAACTAACCTCGCCTTGTATCTTTTGCTTCCATCTGCTTCATCTTTGATTCTGAACACCCACTTGTTCTCCAAAGCTTTCTTTCCCGGTGGTAGCTTGACTAAGGACCAAGTTTGGTTCTTGTCAAGTGAATCTAACTCATCCTCCATGGGCTTCTTCCACTGTATGGAGTCTTTCGTGGTCAACGCCTCTGAGTAAGATTCTGGCTCTCCATTCTCGGTCAGCAACAGATAATTTGCTGAAGGAGAATATCTGTTAGGAGGTCTTCTGATTCTAGTGGACTGTCTGACTTGAGGAGTAGCTGCCTCTGAATTTTCACCATCTTCATCACTCCCACTATCTTCAGACATTCCTGTATCTCCTGAGGTCCCACTGCTCCCTGAGCCTCCAGCTGTCTCATCACAACCAACAGGTTGTGCTATGTCATCTTCAGTCATCCCATCAAACACCACTTGTTGTTTGGTTTCTGGTTGTTTGCCGTTGCTCGTATCTGCTGCAAGACCATCTTTATATGGGCATTCTCGTTGAAAGTGACGTCTCTACTTCTGATAACCTTCTTGCTGTGGTTGTCCCAGAACCTGTAGCCCATGTCATCCATCCCATACCCAATAAAGATACACTTGTTTGCCTTTGCCTCGAGCTTGTCACCATCTGCATCTCTAACTTTGACATAAGAAATACAACCAAAAACTTTCAAGTGAGTAAGGGATACCTCTCGACCTTTCCATTCCTCTTCTGGAATTTTGAAATCAATGGGAGATGAGGGTCCTCTGTTGATCAAATAGGCTGCTGTGTTCACCGCATCTGCCCAGAACATCTTAGGAAGTCCTGCATGCAATCTCATGCTTCTGGCCCTCTCATTCAGTGTTATGTTCATCCTCTCTGCAACACCATTTTGCTGTGGTGTTTCTGGAACCGTCTTCAGCATTCTGATCCCCTGTTCAGCACAATACTCTACAAACTCTGTGCTACTGTACTCACCCCCATTATCACTCTTTAAACACTTAATCTTGAGATTTGTTTCATTCTCAACTGCAGCTTTGAACTTCTTAAAAGTGTTAAAGACATCGGATTTATTTTTAAGAAAATAAACCCATACCTTCCGTGTAGAGTCATCAATGAATGTAACATAGTAACGGGAACCTCCAATCGAAGAGACCTTTGTAGGTCCGTAGACATCTGAATGAATCAACTCCAGCCGCTCAGTCTTGGGTTGCTGCCCTGTCTTCACAAAGGTTACCCTCTTTTGTTTGCCTAGAACACATGGCTCACAAAAGCTCAACTTTGAATTTTTCAAATCTGGGATTTTACCCTTTGAAGACAGCATCTTCATTCCGTTCTCACTTATGTGCCCAAGTCTTTTGTGCCACAAAGTAGAGACCCCTGTATCTTCAACTGCTGCGTTTGCCCCATCTGTGGACACTTCAACCATGTACAGTGTACCATGCTTCTGCCCACGAGCAATGACTAGCTTTCCCTTTGTCACCTTCCATTGCTTGTTGCCAAAACTAACGTTATGGCCTTCCTCATCAAGCTGTCCCACTGAGATCAACATCTTCTTCAGGTCTGGAATATACCTCACATCTTTCAACCTTCAGGTTGTACCCAAAGTGGTACTGAGATCAACATCCCCAATACCCGTGATCTCCAGGGATTTGTCATCCGCCAAACGAACTCTTCCGTTGTAGGGCCTGAAATTTTTCATCAAATCCCTGCAATGACAAGCATGAAACGACGCACCTGAATCCATAATCCATGACTCAATTGAATTCTCAACGCTGCAAATTAGAACATCTTCATAATCCTCTGCCACGTTCACCTCCTTCTTGCCTTTGTCTGCAGAGGCTTTTGGGCACTGATTTCTGAAGTGTCCATTCTCTTTGCAATTCCAACAATTGATGTCCTTCCGGTTCTTGGATTGCCCTCTCTTTCTCGACTTCGATCTTCCCTTCTTGTTACCTCCTCTAGTGGATTTTCTGCCCCTATCTTCAGTACTCAACAAATTGTTGGAGCTATCCCCCGAACTCCTCCTCCGGATATCCTCACCAAGGATTAAGTCACGAATACCTTCAAAGGTAAGCTTAGTGGTTCCAGATGAACTACTAACTGCTGTGACTGTACCGGACCAACTATCGGGCAAAGATGATAACAAAAGTAGTGCTTGGACTTCATCATCGAATTTAATCTCAACCGAGCCTAACCTGGATATGATTGAATTAAACTCGTTGATGTGATCTGTCACGGATGCACCTTCCTTCATTCTTGTATTCACCAACTGTCTAATCAAGAAAACCTTGTTTGCTGCTGAGGGTTTCTCATACATGTTGGATAACGCCTTGAGCAGTCCAAACGTTCTCTTCTCGTTGACGATGTTGTAGGCAACGTTCTTCGCCAACGACAACCTCACCACACCAAGAGCCTGTCGATCCAACAAATTCCATTCAGCCTCCGTCATCGTTTCTGGTTTGTTCTCAGACAACGGTTGATGAAGCTTCTTCTGGTAGAGATAATCCTCGATCTGCATCTTCTAGAAAGCGAAATCTTGACCATCAAATTTATCGATCTTAACCTTCCCTTCGTCAGTCATAGCTCTGATACCAATTGTTACGATTTGGCAAAGATAAACGATAAATTAAGAGCAAGAACACAAGAATTAACGTGGTTCACGCAATCGGGGTGATTACGCTAGTCCACGGCGAACGAGAGAGAGGATGTATTATTATCAGCGTCCCAAGAGGTTTACAAGTACATAAGAGTCGTTTAAATAGGTTTAAGAAAACCTAAACTGAGATTAGAGCCGCAGGCCCAAAATTAAGCATGTTATTAAAAAACCCGTCGACTGACCCGGTCGGGTCTCTTATTTGACCCGGTCGGGTCTCCTTCACAGAATACAAACCCGGTAGAAACCAGGTCGGGTTTCCAAAACAGAAGCTCGGAGATCAACTGACCCGGTCGGGTCTCACATTCCAGAGAGTCCCCAGGTCTCTGCTTCAACATACCCGGTCGGGTGACCTGATATACCTGGTCGGGTATCTGCTCCTGCATTCCAAACAAGGCTCCATCTTCAACAGCGGCTGACAACAGTTCCGGCCACCGGAGTGAAATACCCATTGAGAGCAGTGCCGGGGATGGATTTAAGAGGGGGCGTGGGGGGGGGGGGGGGGCGCCCCTCTTGGACTTTCAAAATTTTCTAGTATATATGTAATATTTTCATAAAATTTTCATACTTTAATTAGATTCGCCCCCCTTAACTTTTAGGTTTCAAAATTACTATATAACCTTACATAATGTCATACTTAATAGGAGATTTTAGAAAAGGAACATCTAAAATGATTCACATAACTTAAATAAATAAACAATAGAACTACTCATTGTTTAAGATTTAAGATACTTATTATATAAAAATTCTTAGTTATGTAATGTTTAATTATTTTTATTACATAACTAGTACTCAATTTTGTAAAATATATATCCCAATGATATTAAATATCGT